AGAATTCCAATAGGGGCCTTAAAAACACAAAACATATAGAAAGAGGACCCATATTTTAAAAGATCCATTAAATTAATTAATAATGATTATTATAAAATAAAAGTTCATTACTGTATTCCAATGGCATATTTTTGTCAGGCAAAGTCAACATCACTTGCAATTAAAAAATAAGTAATTGCCGAAAGAAATTTAGTGTAAATTTGCTTTTGCACCTAAAATGCAACAAATTATAATAATAAAAAAAAATATTTTTTGTCCCCACAATTCTTTTCAAAGCATATTGAATGTTTTAATTTGCTTCGAAGTTCGATGATTGCATTTTCGTTAGAGACGGGCTAGGTATTGACAATGTCTTCTGCGCTACGCTATGTCTTCTATATTTTTTCATGATAAAAAATGTTGGATATATTTTTTTTTACAATATATCAGAATTCAGTTGTATAACTTGTCGCTGACTTCTCGTAAGATTCAAAAACAACTTTACATCTCTTAATTTTGCACCAAATTATTATCTTTTCATATAACCGACCACATCGATGAATTTGTCAATTCAATAGGAGATTGTTGCATTCTCGTCGCCCGTGCTAATGAACAGTCACATATAAATTTTATTCGTATGGACCTTTGCTATAAACCAAACTATTTCATAGGTTGATGTAAGTGAATTAATGAATGGTAATTCACAAGGCATAGGAAAATTTGGTGGTCTATTGCAGCAACTAATGAAGGTGATGTGGGCTCCATATTTGGGCCAAATCCTTGGAAATAAATGGGCTCTTACACGTGGAGGGTAACCTAGGTCCAAATTAGCATGGGCAAAAATATGACCATCCACTCAATGCAATCTCAAGGTTTTAAGTCAAGCAAATGGAAAAGTTATATTCTTCTAGATTTTCTCGGGTTTTGCTCGTTATTTTCCTTGATTAAACCTGCCAAAAAGTGCCTTTGATCATCCGAGAAGGTGCTTTTAAATGGTTTGCTTTTTCTTCTAATTCTTTTTATTTTCATGTTTATGTATAAATATTATAATTAAAAATAAAGAATATAGTAATCTTTTAAATTATTTTTTCTTTGTATGAATAAAGGGACTAAAATTATTTTTTCTTTAGCCATGTTTCGTAATATTCTTTAAAATTCATTTTTTCACAAATATATTTTCAATCACACGATCTCTCAATAAAATATTTTTCATGTGAATTTATAATTTTTTCTATTTTTTAATCACACGTTCTCTAAAAAATTACTTTTCACAAAATTTATTCTCAAATAATTTTTATCATGCTCTTGATAATTTCAAAATCCTCAAATATAACCTGCCAAAAAGTATTAATCCAACAGTTAAATAACTTAAATAAGTAATTGACCATATGAAAGTCATAACAAAATTCCATCTAGCCTGGTGTCCACGTTCCACTGCGCAGGTGTCAATGATCTCGAAAGACCACGTCGGGACGTTGAAGTGCATTATTATGACATAGAGCAAGAGGAAGAAAGAGAGTTAAATGCGAAACAATAGCGTTACGAGTATACCTAAAAACTTTTTATTTTATGCTTGTCGGTCTCACATGACAAAGTGTTGTTTGAATTAGACTTCTTGATAACCTTACTCCTAGCCTGTCTTCTTTTACCTTTCTTGCGTTAAACATGACAATAAATAAATATTGCATTGGTTAAGTAGTAAAATATTAATCAATATATAATTTTACACTACTTTTCTTAATAAAACTAGACAATTTAATGTAAAATCATATTAGAGCCGATCAATTCTTCTGGAAAGAAGAAAGGGTTCCCAGTTGAGGCACTCGATCAATCTATTGATGGCACAAAGCAGCAGTTTAACATGTCATTTAATAAGTCCAGGCAACGAAGTAGTGATGGGTCAGATGGGAAAATGCATGTAGCAGAACTCCATGCTGTTCCTGGACTTACTTCTTTTGTTGATGGAACTGCCCATCTGCATAAGACAGAAGACAATAGGAATGTACCTTCACTGAAATGTGAAGTTAGTCGTGCTTGGAGTTTCAGTGCTGAAGTTGAGCAAAATCATGGCAGGAAGTCTGAGGTACATATCTCTAATAATCAAATTTTTGACAGTGCTGTCAAAGGTAAAGTTGAATCAAGTTTGGATGAATCACGCGTCACTGATAAACCGCCTGATGCTACCAAAAATCGCATATGTTGAATTCCGAGTTTGACGATTGAGAACGAGATCTTCCGATACCTGAAATAAAGACGTCGAGGTTTGAATTCAATGTCAAATTCTCGAAGTTCAATGGCCCACTTCAATAACCTTCCAGATACGTCGGGCTTCTGTAGTATATGCTTGAGTGGCTGGTTAGTGAGCACAACAATAGGGTAAAGTCCAGGAAGTTTAGAGTTGGAGATTTTGTGTCGAGGAGAGAAGAAGCCGCGTGTCATGCCCCGGGCAAGCTAGGGGCCACCTACCTTTTGAAGTCCTAAGACAGGTTTGCAAAGGCGCCTACAGCCAAAGAGACACCTCGGGAAGACCACTGGCTAGACCTTGGAACGTGGATAATCTGAAGATCTATTACAAGTAGTCTATTTTTCACCTTAGTAATTTTTCTTTTGTTTTAAATTCTTTTTTTTAAGTTTGTCCAGCTTGCATGCCCTGCATCTTTTTAATTTTTCGATTATCGGGCCTATGTGCTCACATTTTGATGATTTTCGATTGAATAAATAGTGTAGGGATTTCCTCCCCACGAAATGCTTTTAATCCCAATTCCCAACGACACCAAAGCCTTGCCCCGAGCAGACACCTCAAAGCCTTGTCATAGCGCAACCTTGCCCCTGGCAAGCATCCCAATCTTGAGAAGAGCTCGAGCTCGTGGATCCATGACATTAAAGCAATACAATCCTCGGGTATAAACACCTCGGGACATAAGCATATTATTCCTCGGGCTTTGAGCTATGTTCGTTAAATAAACTGCTCGGGAACCACTAATCTATATCTCCCCTCGTGCTTGAACTCTCCTCTCCTCGAACTATTAATCGAAATAAAAATACTCGAGATTTGTGATTAAAATCTCCTCGAGCTTCAAACAATTAATAAAAATAAAGTTGCTCGAGATTCGTGTTTGAACTCTCCTCGAGCTTCAGACAATTAATAAAAATAAAGTTGCTCGAGATTCGTGCTTGAACTCTCCTCGAGCTTCAGACGATTAATAAAAATAAAGTTGCTCGAGATTCATGATTAAACTCTCCTCGAACTTCAAACTTTGTTAATAAAAATAATTTTGGTCGAGATTTATGCTACAACTCTCCTCAAGTTTCAAACATATCAAATAATAAAAATTGCTCAAGTTTTAACTATCACCGAGAATTAATGCCTAAAGCAGCAGGACGAGCAATAAAAAATTGAGATGAAAATAACAAATGGACAAACATGATCGGGCAATGCAAAAATATTCATTAAAACACGAGCCCTTCGTCGAGCAATGTAATTTACAAAAAGATTCAAAACAAAATCCTAGTCTTGGTCGTCATCCCTCGGGGGCCTATTTACCTTTTCCTCAACATCGTCATCCTCTTACTCGGCTCTGGTGCCCTCGGACGATAAGAGCTCAAGCCCCTCAACAACCTCGGGGGCAGATGTCAATTCCTCGGCATTGAACTCGGGAAGTTTGAAACGGAGGTATATGCCCGAGCTTGCTTGAATGCATAGTCACATGATCCTAAGGCATACTCCTCCCTTATCGCCCAGAATTCGTCGAACTTCTTAAAGTCCTCGATTGCCTCGGCCCGAGCCTCCTCCAGGCTTGCATCCATCTCTCTTGTCCTCTGGTCGAGCTCAAGCTTTGCCCCCTTTGCCTCATCCTTTGCCAGCACAAGCTCGTCACGAGCTTGCTTGAGTGAAGCCTCGAGCTCGAAGTTCTCTTTCGATCGACGTCTGGTCTCGACCTCGAGATCAAGAATGTTTTGGACCCTTCGTTCAAGCTCTTCCTCGAGCGAAGCAACCTTGCCGACCTCCCTTTCTCCCCTTGGGCCAGAGCTCGAGCCACAATCAAAGCCTTCACACGACGAAATAGAAGTTAATGATCGGGATTGGAACATTAAAATAATTCTTATGATGTGAAGCTCAATGTTACCTTCAGTGTCAAAGCCTCGACCTCCTTCACTCCCTCGGTCATGCTTACTTTCTCCCCTCCATACTTCTCGAGGAGCTCAGGGACAAGGACGCATTTCCCATCCTCCGAGGATGAGGATGCCTGCTGGGGGATTTCATCGTCGACATCAACCACAACTGGGGTCCCTCCAGGAGTACGAGCTCAAGGAGTCATCGTTCGTGGGACCTCGGCTTGAGAGACAGGGGCATCAGATGCTATCCCAGGATATTCCCCCGGCCCTCTCCTGGGCTGTTCAAGCGTCACGTGCCGTTGATATTTCTTACCTTTCTTCCTGGCCTGTTTCACTTGAGCGCCATTAGATTTTTTATCTATTGCTTGGCGAAGGTCTGATAGATCGAATGCCATCTTGAGCATTGTAAAATAAAATAAAGACAAGTTATTGGACCGAGGAGTTAACATGCTGAACAATAAAACAATTGAAGATGCTCGTTCCTACCCTCGATGCCTTTGATATCGGCTAGGTCGAGGACATCATCCCCAAGGATATCATCCATGCTATACGATAGGGGCTCGAGCTCGACCAGTATCTGCCCATCCCTCTCTAACACCTCGAAATGGGCTAGCCCTCATTAAAACACTTGTTGCTCGGGACTGTCCATCGAGCAATGAATGGGTGGTCGGTATCTTGGGGTTGAATGAAGAAATATCTGGATTTCCATCCTTTTAATGAGCTTGGCATTTTAGGAACCTTGAAATCTCCTCGAGAGGAAAAGTAAACAAAATAGTTGAAGCACGAGAGTGACTTCAACTCGAACGTCATTCTGAGCAGATCTAGCCTCGGGACGATTAACAAATACCTACAAGCTATGAAAAAAATATACGAGCATCCTCTATCCATTAGGAACTAGCTGCTCGGGACACATATCGTGCTCGATTAGAAACTCGAGGAAGAAGGGGTAAAGAGGCCATCTAAGCCCACCATTCAATGCCTCCCTATAAACGGAAATCTTACCCTCTCAAGCACTCATTATATTCTCCTCGGGGTCAAGGCGTTGTACGTCACACAAAGGCAATAGCCCAAACTCACGGGCTACCCCTATTACCTCATGCTCTTTATACCTACAGCTAAGTTCGGGATAAGAGAGGACGGGGTGGCTATCAATGGGTATGGCAAAGGAAATTAGGTGATGATCTTCCCTAGGCATTGACCCCGAGGCTGAAGAGCTAATACTACCAGACATTGTTGGAAAATAAAGACTTAAATTAACTAAAGGGAACGAGCTCTTACCTTAAGCCTAAACCTGAGGTGGTCCGATGAGTGTTTGAATGCTGGAAAGTGTCAAATGAAGTGGGGCAGTAGGGTATTTATAAGGGACGGGGAAGTCCAAAGGCCTCTCAATCCTAGCCCTCCATCCCTCGCCACGTGGTAGTCATCCAACTAGGGTAATCATTAGCTCGACTATCGAGGCCAGGTGGCACGCTGTCACGTGTACGGTTGGCTCATCGCCCCCTAGTATGATCTATACTTCGAAGATTGACCACCCCACTTCAAAGCTGACAGCATACTTCACGAGCTGTGCAACCAATTTTAGAGGCCAACCAGCGCCGCCTTTGAAGAGAATCATCCATCCAACCTACTCGGGCTCGGAAAGGGAGATTCCTGACCACCATTCTATAAAGTGCATCACACCCCAGAACTTCGAGCGAGCAGCTCTAGCCTAGATGCATGGGGTCAATGATCACACCAAAGTCGGTGTCCTAAGCCGAGCAGGTTTCCCGAGGATCAGGGCCCTTATTTTGCGCCCAAGTGTCGTGACCTCCTCCGGATATTCACCTCGGGTTTATGAGTACCCTGAGGAGCTAAGCCATATGTCGAGACTTTTCCATACCAAGAATGAGATCCTATTGGTCACATACTGTCCCATCCTGAATGGATTCTACAATGGGAGTCCTATCCCTACCCAAACACCCAAGAAACGCCACATTAACTAAACCATAACTTCCAATTGCACTAGAACTCATAAGAATCTCAACGTTACAGTCCTACTAGGAGTCAACCACCTATCTCTATAAATACATCACCCTCATTCATTATTTAGGTACGTTTTCACATATATTCTCTCTTAAATTTCTTTTTCTAACTTAAGCATCTGAGGGGCGGCTAGGCCACACCTCGACGCCTTTGTTTCAGGTATCAGAAGATTTCGTTCGTACTCGTTCTCAGTCGTCAAGCTTGGAATTCAACAGGTGCAATTTTTGGTAGCATCACCGCCTAACAAAGAGAGAGTTAATTTCAAATCACATGATTCTAAAGTCTTGCCACCTTCAAGTTTTCAATCGAATCTAAATGAGGAAAGATTTTGATGATAATGATATATGTGACTGGAAAAAGTTTTCAATCGAATCTAAGTGGAACTGGCAAAAGTGATGATGATAATGATATATGTGACTTTTAGGAGGCTATTCTTGAGAAAGATTTTGATACCTTTGTTGATGCATATGGTAGTGGTTCAAGCACCAGAGTCACTCAGATTCAGGAAGCCTGCACTGTTGAATTAAATGATAACAGTGCAGATGAAAATCAACAAACAGTTGAAAGTGACAAAGAGAAAGGCAGCACAATGAGAGTAACTGAAACATCTTCTGCAATTGAAAAGAACGAGAAAAAGAACCAGTTTGTTGATTCTAATTCCACCTACGATTTAACAAATCAAAGTAATTAGTTTATGGAATCAACAATTAAGGAAATCTAATTTAAAAAATCAAATTTGAAGAACAATAAGAACAATGAATTCCCCTTTTCTGAGGCTCAGAAAAGTTAATCCAACACCACAAAGGCAACACCAAGTTTTAGGAGAATGACGCGGGCACATAAAGGCAGAAGCTGGACTAAAGAATTTGCACAAAGCAATGATGGGTTTTGCACAAAGCAAAGAACCGGTTTCTGCTTCTTCCAAAAAGGCACAAAGCAAATATATTTTGGTGTGTAGAATTGAAGCCGAGAAGCTTCAATTTATAAGCAAGGGATTGAATTGATTTCCCAGATTTTTCTCTCCAAAGATAGGCATAAGCTAAACTAAAATGGTTAGATAAGGATAGAGTTATACAAATTTGAATGAAAAAGATAAACGACCCTTGTCACATTATCTCCAATAATTGGGCATTGAGCATCTAGCCCAATTGGGTGATTTCCTCTAAACACCCAATAAGATTTGGGCTACATTGTTTGTGGTGTGAATTTTAATATTCTTCAATCCAGGATTTATAGCCTATGAAGTTAAACGGGCCACAATTTTTTCGCCTAGGGGTTATTTACAAAAATACCCAACAACCTCCACCTTGATGCCAAATCAACCTACAAGTCAGATAAGATAACAAATAGCTTAAGGAAAGATATTTACAAGTTTGTACCGATATTTAGAAGATCAAGGCGGCTTCTAAACGTTACCAATGGGAGCACCTTAGTTCCCATGTCTGCAAGATTATATTCTGAAAGGATTTTATCAAGTTTTACCAGTTCTTGAGAAACCATATATCTAATAAAATGCAATCTAACATGTATATGCTTAGTACGTTCATGAAAGATAAACCACAAAGATTGACTAACATCTATATGCTTAGTACATTNAAAATAAAGTTGCTCGAGATTCGTGCTTGAACTCTCCTCGAGCTTCAGACGATTAATAAAAATCAAGTTGCTCGAGATTCTTGATTAAACTCTCCTCGAACTTCAAACTTTGTTAATAAAAATAAATTTGGTCGAGATTTATGCTACAACTCTCCTCGAGTTTCAAACATATCAAATAATAAAAATTGCTCAAGTTTTAACTATCCCCGAGAATTAATGCCTAAAGCAGCAGGACGAGCAATAAAAAATTGAGATGAAAATAACAAATGGACAAACATGATCGGGCAATACAAAAATATTCATTCAAACACGAGCCCTTCGTCGGGCAATGTAATTTACAAAAAGATTCAAAACAAAATCCTAGTCTTGGTCGTCATCCCTCGGGGGCCTATTTACCTTTTCCTCAACATCATCATCCTCTTACTCGGCTTTGGTGCCCTTAGACGATAAGAGCTCAAGCCCCTCAACAACCTCGGGGGCAGATGTCAATTCCTCGGCATTGAACTCGGGAAGTTTGAAATGGAGCCCGAGCTTGCTTGAATGCATAGTCACATGATCCTAAGGCATACTCATCCCTTATCGCCCAGAATTCGTCGAACTTCTTAAAGTCCTCAATTCCCTTGGCCCGAGCCTCCTCCAGGCTTGCATCCATCTCTCTTGTCCTCTGGTCGAGCTCAAGCTTTGCCCCCTTTGCCTTATCCTTTGCCAGCACAAGCTCATCACGAGCTTGCTTGAGTGAAGCCTCGAGCTCGAAGTTCTCTTTCGATCGGCGTCTGGTCTCGGCCTCGAGATCAAGAATGTTTTGGACCCCTCGTTCAAGCTCTTCCTCGAGCGAAGCAACCTTGCCGACCTCCCTTTCTCCCCTTTGGGCCAGAGCTTGAGCCACAGTCAAAGCCTTCACACGACAAAATAGAAGTTAATGATTGGGATTGGAACATTAAAATAATTCATATGATGTGAAGCTCAATGTTACCTTCAGTGTCAAAGCCTCGACCTCCTTCACTCCCTCGGTCATGCTTACTTTCTCCCCTCCATACTTCTCGAGGAGATAAGGGACAAGGACGCATTTCCCATCCTCCGAGGAAGAGGATGCCTGCTGGGGGATTTCGTCATCGACATCAACCACAACTGGGGTCCCTCCAAGAGTACGAGCTCGAGGAGTCATCGTTCGTGGGACCTCGGCTTGAGAGACAAGGGCATCAGATGCTATCCCAGGATATTCCCTCGGCCCTCTCCTGGGCTGTTCAGGCATCACGTGCCGTTGACATTTCTTACTTTTCTTCCTGGCCTGTTTCACTTGAGCGCTATTCGATTTTTTATCTATTGCTTGGCGAAGGTCTGATGGATCGAATGCCATCTCGAGCATTGTAAAATAAAATAAAGACAAGTCATTGGACCGAGGAGTTAACATGCTGAACAATAAAACAATTGAAGATGCTCGTTCCTACCCTCGATGCCTTTGATATCGTCTAGGTTGAGGACATCATCCCCAAGGATATCATCCATGCTATACGATAGGGGCTCGAGCTCAACTAGTATCTGCCTATCCCTCTCTAACACCTCGAAATGGGCTGGCCCTCATTAAAACGCTTGGTGCTCGGGACTGTCCATCGAGCAATGAATGGGTGGTCGGTATCTTGGGGTTGAATGAGGAAATATCTGGATTTCCATCCTTTTAATGAGCTTGGCATTTTAGGAACCTTGAACTCTCCTCGAGAGGAAAAGTAAACAAAATAGTTGAAGCACGAGAGTGACTTCAACCGAAACGTCATTCTGAGCAGATCTAGCCTCGGGACGATTGACAAATAACTACAAGCTATGAAAAAAATATACGAGCGTCCTCCATCCATTAGGAACTATCTGCCCGGGACACATATTGTGCTTGATTAGAAACTCGAGGAAGAAGGGGTGAAGAGGCCATCTAAGCCCACCCTTCAATGCCTCCCTATAAACGGAAATCTTACCCTCTCGAGCACTCGTTATATTCTCCTCGGGGTCAAGGCGTTGTACGTCACACAAAGGCAACATCCCAAACTCACGGGCTACCCCTATTACCTCATGCTCTTTATACCTACAGCTAAGTTCGGGATAAGAGAGGACGGGGTGGCTATCAATGGGTATGGCAAAGGAAATCAGGTGATGATCTTCCCTGGGCATTGACCCCGAGGCTGAAGAGCTAATACTACCAGACATAGTTGGAAAATAAAGACTTAAATTAACTAAAGGGAACGAGCTCTTACCTTAAGCCTAAACCCGAGGTGGTCCGATGAGTGTTTGAATGCTGAAAGTGTCAAATGAAGTGGGGCAGTAGGGTATTTATAAGGGATAGGGAAGTCCAAAGACCTCTCAATCCTAGCCCTCTATCCCACGCCACGTGGTAGTCATCCAACTAGGGTAATCATTAGCTCGACTATCGAGGCCAGGTGACACGCTGTCACTTGTACGGTTGGCTCATCGCCCCCTAGTATGATCTATACTTCGAAGACTGACCACCCAACTTCAAGGCGATAGCATACTTCACGAGCTGTGCAACCAATTTCAGAGGCTGACCAGCGTCGCCTTTGAAGAGAATCATCCATCCAACCTACTCGGGCTCGGAAAGGGAGATTCCTGACCACCATTCTACGAAGTGCATCACACCCCAGAACTTCGAGTGAGCAGCTCTGGCCTAGATGCACGGGGGGCAATGATCACACCAAAGTCAGTGTCCTAAGCCGAGCAGGTTTCCCGAGGAGGAAGGCCCTTATTTTACGCCCAAGTATCGTGACCTCCTCCGAATATTCTCCTTGGGTTTATGAGTACCCCGAGGAGCTAAGCCATATGTCGAGACTTTTCCATACCAAGAATGAGATCCTATTGGTCACATACTGTCGCATCCTGAATGGATTCTACAATGGGAGTCCTATCCCTACCCAAACACCCAAGAAACGCCACATTAACTAAACCATAACTTCCAATTGCACTAGAACTCATAAGAATCTCAACGTTACAGTCCTACTAGGAGTCAACCACCTATCTCTATAAATACATCACCCTCATTCATTATTTAGGTACGTTTTCACATATATTCATAGCATATATTCTCTCTTAAATTTCTTTTTCGACTTAAGAATCTGAGGGGCGGCTAGGCCACACCTTGACACCTTTGTTTCAGGTATCAGAAGATTTCGTTCGTACTTGTTCTCAGTCGTCAAGCTTGGAATTCAACAGGTGCAATTTTTTGTAGCATCACTGCCTAACAAAGAGAAAGTTAATTTCAAATCACATGATTCTAAAGTCTTGCCACCTTCAAGTTTTCAATCGAATCTAAATGAGAAAAGATTTTGACGATAATGATATATGTGACTGGCAAAAGTTTTCAACCGAATCTAAGTGGAACTGGCAAAAGTGATGATGATAATGATATATGTGACTTTCAGGAGGCTATTCTTGAGAAAGATTTTGATACCTTTGTTGATGCATATGGTAGTGGTTCGAGCACCAGAGTCACTCAGATTCAGGAAGCCTGCACTGTTGAATTAAATGATAACAGTGTAGATGAAAATCAACAAACAATTGAAAGTGACAGCACAATGAGAGTAACTGAAATATCTTCTGCAATTGAAAAGAACGAGAAAAAGAACTAGTTTGTTGATTCTAATTCCACCTACGATTTAACAAATCAAAGTAATTAGTTTATGGAATTAACAATTAAGGAAATCTAATTTAAAAAATCAAATTTGAAGAACAATAAGAACAATGAATTCCCTTTTTTTTAGGCTCAGAAAAGTTAATCCAACACCACAATGGCAACACCAAGTTTTAGGAGAATGACGCGGGCACATAAAGGCAGAAGCTGGACTAAACAATTTGCACAAAGCAATGATGGGTTTTGCACAAAGCAGAGAACCGGTTTCTGCTTCTTCCAAAAAGGCACAAAGCAAATATATTTTGGTGTGTAGAATTGAAGCCGAGAAGCTTCAATTTATAAGCAAGGGATTGAATTGATTTCCTAGATTTTTCTCTCCAAAGATAGGCATAAGCAAAACTAAAAATGGTTAGATAAGGATAGAGTTATACAAATTTGAATGAAAAAGATAAACGACCCTTGTCACATTATCTCCAATAATTCCTATAAATACCCAATAAGATTTGGGCTACATTGTTTGTGGTGTGAATTTTAATATTCTTCAATCCAGGACTTATAGCCTATGAAGTTAAACGGGCCACAATTTTTTCGCCTAGGGGTTATTTACAAAAATACCCAACAACCTCCACCTTGATGCCAAATCAACCTGCAAGTCAGACAAGATAACAAATAGCTCAATGAAAGATATTTACAAGTTTGTACCAATATTTAGAAGATCAAGGCGGCTTCTAAACTTTACCAATGGGAGCACCTTAGTTCCCATGTCTGCAAGATTATATTCTGAAAGGATTTTCTCAAGTTTTACCAGTTCTTGAGAAACCATATCCCTAATAAAATGCAATCTAACATCTATATGCTTAGTACATTCATGAAAGATAAACCACAAAGATTGACTAACATCTATATGTTTAGTACATTCAGGATATTTAACATATATATGCTTAGTATGTTCATGATATTTGCATAGGTGAATAGCAGATTGA